ACGCTGCTGCCTCTGCTCTGGCTCTGAGAGGATCCTCAGCTCTCGAGTGCCCTCACCAGGGATCTGCAGAGCCCTCTCCTCAGCCTGAACATAGCTGCACAGTCCGATCGAAGTGGAGAGAGGCCAGCCGGAGGTCTGCTGATGGCTTTGCCCCCTCCCCATGCCGGGGACACGCTTGCAAGCTGTATTCTTCAAGCCTTTTCATTGCAGGCTCTTGGATCCACGTCCCGCAGGCTGAGGCCAAGCTCCTTTGTGTAATTCATTGTACGGCTGCTTCCCCTGGAGAGGCGAAGGGGGGAAGTAAAAAAAGTCTTAAGCTCCCAATATCTGCAAATCTCTCTTACAATGGAGGTTTTGTAGGCCTAAAAGCAACCACCAAAGGGGGGTTAAGCTGTGGATGAGCTCCCAGAGGTTAAAGCTCAACAGGAGAAATGTGGCTCAGCAGGGTTCACTACCTGCCTCTTTGCGTCCTGCCTGCTTCCAGCTTTAGTCCGTGCTGGTGCAAAGGGGTAAAAAGAGATGTGGCACGATATGCCTGTCACGGGGACAGGGATGCTGCAGGCAGAGCAGAGTGGCACGCCAAGCCTGTACAGCGCTGGCTGGGTCACTCGCCTTTAAATGCTGGGGATGACAAGTTTATGTCAGCTCACAAGGCGGTGGCATGCTCACAATTATAATCAGCGCTAATTGTGTAGTGGAGCAGCCCAGACTGGCCTTCCAGAATTGGTTTTGCCCCTCAATTGAGCTGCTAGGTAAGTTTCTAGGTAATTTTTAGGGTCATTGAACACCCTGTGACAGCACATCCTTCCCTGCGGAACTGTTGCTGCAGAGAGCAGGTCTAAAACAAAAAGGGAATGATAGTTGGGGAGGGGGGTACATTGTTTAATAGGCCAAGTAGAATAAGATTTTAATATTTTTTTTCCCAGATGAAATATAACTTAGCGTTAGCATTGACGTAACAGCAGGCAACTGACAAGCACCAGCGAAACCCATGGCTTTGCTGTGCTTGGGCAATGTGTTTTTGTGCAGGAAGAGATGCTGCCGGAGAGATTATGAACTAGGTGCATGGGGAACAGTTGAAAGGAAGAGCTGTCCATAGCGCAGGAGGATGTGGTGCCCAGAAGGAATAAATTCATGTACCTCAGATGGTGCAGAGCTGGACCATGCCCTGCTCCATCCTAGTCTTGCTCTAACCTGTCACAGCCTTCAGAGAGCTGGTGGGAAGGGGGAGCTTTAGTTCCTCCAGAGCTCCCATGGGTGCATCTCCTCTCAGCTGTGCCCCATATCCTCTGCGGTGGTCTCCCTTGCCAGGGGCAACGCAGGTGCTGCACCCATGCCCTGGGGAAGCATGTGCTGGAACACAACATTTCTGAATTAACTCATGGTCTGGGAAGAAGGTAGCTGGGAGAAACCAGCTGGAGAACCAGCTCTCCCCACCAAACTGACCCCAAGACCAGCCCCAATGGGTTGTGGGTGGAAGGGGATGGTGTGAAAATGCTGCAGCTCAGCATGGTGGGTGGGAAGGTTGGCCTTGTGCCTCTGCGTTGGCATCTCTCACTTTCGGGAAAGTGCTGCTTAACCATTTCAGGGACTCACAGGAGATTCTTGCTTGGTACATAGTAAAGATCCTTTCTCTGAACTGCCTGCAGATTTAGTTCCAAAGTTTACAGAGAGGCGCAGTAACTGCTGAGGAGCCTCTAGACTTGCCTGCCCTGGTTTCCCTGCCTCACTTCAACAGCTGACACCAATCCCGCTCTCAGTTCAGCCTGGCTTTTGGAACAGGTATGAGAATGATGATGCTATTTACCAACACAGATCATGGTGGGCACATCATCTAGGGGAAAACCACCAGTGCACCCTTCTGCCTGGAGACGCTCTTGGAGCTCTTTCAGCTGCTTCCTTTAGACTCGCTTTTGAATTCATGTGCAAGACTAAAAAAACAGCCTGCTTTTGGCATCCAGCAACCACTGCACCTGGTGACACTGGATTTTCATCTGAATCTTTGGGCTACAATGAAATCTTGTCCTCTCACATCAGACAACAGGAGATTAGTTGATGTTTACTTCTGGGAATTGATCACATGAACATCTATTTGAAAATAGATGTCAATGTTATTAGTCTTTAGGTTGCCAGAGACTGGGCAGGGACTGAAGAAAATCCAGAACAGGGTAAATCCTCTTTTTTTTTTTCAGCCCTCTCTCTGTTTAGGCCAGAGCTAGGCAAAATAATTCACCACAAATGTAAAAATGTGTGTGTGCTGAGGTGATGTGACACTGAATGGAGCTGATCTGATCAAGGGTGTTGAAATGAGAAATATTTGCTTTCTGTATTTCTAAAATATTCCAGTTGTCAGTGGATTTCAGTTTAATTAATATCATTGAGTATTATGCAAACCTCAGTATGTTTCAGTTTGGGTTGAATTCAGCAGCTGTTTGTAGGTTTGTTTTTAGTTTTGCACTTAGTTGAAAAAGCTAGAATGTTTGTCCCAAACAACTGAGAGAAAGGTTGTTTGGGGTTTTTCCAGAAAAAGCAAATATTTACTTTGTTTGCACAACCTCAGCCCTGACCTAAATAAAACTTTGTCCAATATGATGATCACTTTTGCTTAATGAACTGAAAATAGCTAGAGAAAAAAACAGGATACAGTGACTTTGCTTGTTTCTTTCACAATCTCATTATTTACTTTTAAATAGAAGTCTTGTTTCAGAAGCAAGTGGGTATTTTGTCTTTAAAAGGTCATAAAAATATCTCTGTATTAGAACAGCTCAGGTGGATGATGCTTCCAGCGATGTGCCCAAGCAGCGTAAGGTTGCCCTTGCATACCTTGGCTATGCATTGCAAACACAGTACATAAAACTGAGAGTGAGATAACATTAAAATACAGATTTCCCTCCAGATATTGTCATAATATGATTAACGCTTTGCCGGTTCTTACATCAACACCCATGCGGAACCGTGCAGAGCAGAAACAGTGTTTTCTGTTACCAAAAGGTATACAGCAATAAAAAGGAAGGAGGGGAGGAAGCAACCCATGTCATGCACAAAACCATGCCCTCGCCTGCCCTACTGATGCAGGACTCCATCAGGTAACTCTCCCATCTAGCCCAGTGTTTGTCATGGTTAAAACCTCTGTGGTATTGTCTTCATGTCCCCAACCAACCAAAAAGTCTGTTCTTTGGTTACAACATGAACAAATAACCCCCTCCTCTTCCTTCATTTTGTCCCCCCTCCAAGTTAATGGCCACAAATCTCCTGAGACAGGACAAGGCACGCAGCAGGAGGGAAGAAGAGACAAGCTGGGGTTTTAGGCTGCATGGCTGTGCCCCAGCTGAGCCATCGGTGTGGCAGATCAGCAAGGCACCATTGGCAGGAGACCCGGCCAACGCCAGGGTCCATTTGGAGTAAGGAGAACTCAGATGCACTGCTTGTAAAAACACCGTAGTGTTCATGATTTGTTTCTTGTTTGGACGCAGAGCCTGGCTCTGCAAGGCCCCGGTCTTTGCTGCTTATATGGAAATAAGCTGTGCTCTGCTACAGCTGCTCTCTCTCCTGCAGGCAGCACCACAGGCACAAGGGGTTGGCACCTGGGGCTGACTGATGGATTATTATAAATGCTGTAACCTGCACCTATCCCCCAGGTGTTCCCTGAGTTGGCTGCTTTACCCCAGAGCATCTGCAGAAATGCAGTGTGCCGGGGCACCACAGTGTTTCCAAGGCTCGGATTTCTCTTCCTGGGATGCCGAAGAGGAGGGACGGTAAGGAACCAGCCTGGTTCAGTGAGGATTTTTAGTGTTAACACCAGAGATTTAGTCTTTTCCAGCTAATCCCAGCTTTGCTCCTAGTTGCTTTGACATATGCCAGAGCAGCAGCTGTGTAGCAGGGAGGCAAATGTACCTTTGGAGGGCAAGGACCTAGTGTGCTACCCTACATGGTTTGAAATAAATATTAATATTAACATTTACATTCATCAATAAAAGTTAGCTGGGGAGAGGCAAGCAGAGTGCTCCCTGCCCTATGAGCAGATCAGAGATCCAGGTGAAGAGCCATCTGTCACGTAGGACCATAGCTAATGCATCGGACCAAAGAGATGGTCATAGCCTTGTGGTGGCAAAGGGATCAAGAGTGGACTTCCTTTTAAAGAGCAGCATTAATTTAAACTGTATTGCTCATTCTTTTACCTGTGCAATCACTTGAGACTTCACGCTATTGGAGTGACAGTAAGGTGTTTTCTGTTTCATTGCTCTCTGTCTTCAGAGCTTATTCTCTGGCATATGGGATCCCCTCATGGGATTCCCCCTTTTAGTGCAGTGTTTAAGTGCTGAAAACCTGACATTTCTTGTAATTGATGTTTAGAGGATTTCTGAATTGCACATTTGTTTGAACATCCTATATTTAGGATCTGGTCTTTGCTGGGTGTCAGTCTGTGCAAGTGGGACTCTCTCAGGACTGATTGGTCAAACCTTTGACTAGCAAACTGGTTTTCTTTTTGAAGCATGTCTGCAAGATGTTGGGCGTTGGGGAATTTGAACTTCTTGTGTTCCAGCCACTCTCCACAAAGAGAGAGCAACCTTCTAAATAAAGTACATTGTGAGACTGATGTAGATGACATTAGCAAACTGAGGGGAAGGGAGAAATGAAACAGCTACTGAACTGAAGTATCTTTCTGGTGTACTAGTTGTGTACATTGTTTGTGTACTTCCTGACAGAAACACTACCTGCAAAGTCCTATTTTCCCTCTTGCCTCCCCACACAGTGTTCACCTGTGCAGTTGGCAGTCTAAAATATCCACTCTTCCCTTCTGCCAGAAGGAAGCATGTGATCTATCACCTCCAAGACTCAGCTGGCGAAGTGGCCTGGATCAACTTGTACCTGTCAAACTCTTCCCAGGAAGGTATGGGAAACAAATTGAGGAGAAATAACACTGGCTGTGCTTCTGCCTGCACTGAAGTCAGCCGGGACCATCTTTCCAACCCTTCCCAAGGCTCTGACAGCCTTTGCCCCTAGGGTTGGATGTGGACATGGCAGCCCCCCTTCTCGATGGTCTGCACCGGGTGGATCGGTAGGACTAGGTGGGAGATGCGGCTCCACAGCCCACTTAGCTTGTCAGAGTCCATGTGGTTGTAGGAGCTGGGTGTCCTGGTGTTGGTGAACTTGGCCCAGAGGAAGTCACGGACCCTCTCTTCCACCTGCTGGAGGCTGATGTGGGTCTCCAGTGTCTCCTCCTCCAACAGCACGGTCAGCAGCAGGGCCACGTCCTTGAAAGCAGCACTTTCGTGGTCACAGTATTTGTAGAAGATAAGGGTGGCCCCCGCCGGCAGCAACTCAAAGCGGTGTATCACTGCGGCACGGCCCCCAGCCTGGAAAGCTGAGCTCAGCTCTAAGTCCACCTCCAGCTTGGCCTGGTCACTCTGGAGCCTGGATTTATCTGTGCCGTTGATCTGGACCGTGCTGGCATGCAGGGCAGCAGAGTAGGTGTCAGCCACACGGGCACTAAGGCATCTCAAGGTCCCCTCACCCTTGCGGGCAGCCGTGAAGATGATGATGGCTGGCTGTGTGTGGTGGGATGCGTTGAGGTGCTTCTGCAGGAACTTGCGCCCACGATGCCACAAGTGGGGACTCTGCCCCGGAAACCTCTCCTGCAGCTGGTTGAACTGGGACAGAAAGGCCTCCACTGTGGGGTTCCTGGGGGCTTGCTGTGCCTTGGAGGTCAGGTTGACAAAGCAGAATATGCAGGTGAGCAAGACGAGGGTCACGATGCCAAGCCCTGCTCAACAGGGGAGAGTCCCAAGACAGGGAACAGAAGTCAGTCCTAAGTGACCTGCAGTGATATGCTGAAAAGTAGCTACAAGGGCTCTTTTCCCCCTCCCAGACCTTGCCCACTACCCCAGGAAAGTGGTTCAGGCTGGCACGCTCTCTGGGGGCCCAGGAATGGTGAAGATGCTGCTTGCCCCATGTGGTGAGACCCATGCTCCTACACACCAGCCACGGAGAACTATAGCTCCAGAGATGGAGACAAGGCTACAGCTTTGTTGTCACAGTGCAAAATTTCCTGAGGAAATTGCAGCTGGCCACAAGCTTTCTTCTCTTCCCTCTGCTCTGTTTTCTTTAATGTTTGTGGCTGTTCGGAGCACCTACCTCCACATATGGAGGTGTCTGACCCAGCTAAGGTGTCCTGTTCACTGCCTTCCTCCTAGCTATGCTGGGTGAACAAAGACTACCATGCTTCTGCCCAGAAAAGGAGGACAGTGAGGTCCAGGCACAATTGCTTGCGTCATTCTCCATGGCAAAGCAGGGTCTCATTCTACCAGAAGAAATGCGTGGTGCAGATCAGCATCACAGTTCCTGCTTGGGGACAGTACAGAGGGGGACTGGGAAGGGGAACCATCAGCCTCAGACGTCCCAGGACATACCAGGGTACTCGCGGCACGCTGAACACGGTGTGCGTGCTTTTGAGGCTGGATAGCTGGAGGGAAAGCTGCTACTATAGGCTCAAACTGAGCCTATTTTTAAGGGGATGGATTTTCCCTCAAACCCTCAGAAAAGGCTGAGAAAGGTCCTGAGAGAGAAGAAGAATTAAATGTGCTTCATTACTTGTTCCTGGAGGATCAGTGCCTTCTGCTCGATGAGTAACACACAAGGGAAGCTTCCTTTCCTCACCTTTCAGCAAGAAGGACTTTTTGGCCTTCTCCTGGTCTGTGTTTTGGGTGGTAACGTTCTGCAAGCAGGACTGAGCCTCTGGCTTCGGGGCTGTGTGCCCTACAGCAAGAGAAAGAAATGTGCCACTCATTGTTGAGGGAACAACTAAGCTAAGTTGGGCTGTAAGAAGAAAAGCAACAGAGCTGCCAGAAGCTCTCAGCCGAGGGAAAGA